AGCTGCAAATGTCCGCAGCCAGTTGACGTAACGAAAAACGTCGCTCTTCAACGCCTTGTTCCGCTGCAACTGCAGCTGCTTTTGAACCGCTGTCTTCAGCGATTCCGGCTTGATCGATTTCGTCATGACTTCGACGACCATCTTGCCTTCTTGATGGAGTGATGGAGTACCCACTCCTGATGATCTTGTTCCAACGAGCGCATCAGCTTGTCCAACATACGACCGACGCGGGACTCCGCGTCCAAGATCTTCGTATCGAAGCGAATCGCTCGCTGCAGAACGTTGCTTCAAAACGTCCAGGTATTGAGGGTCCTCCTCAAACGCTGACTTGAACCACACGACCCACTCATCGTTCGTGATGGAATAGTGGTCGCGGTTGAAGTCGAACAGCGCGATCCGGCGCTTCGAAAACGGGTCCATGCAGGCACTCACGGGCATCGCGAACGGACGCGATCCATTGCACTGCAGAGCGTTGATCTGCCCCAGATACTTCTGGTACTCGCGCATAAAAGCGGGTCTTTCGGCCTTGGTCGAGCCCGAAAATGCGGGAGCGCCGGTGCATTCCACACTTGCGGCGCCGTACGGCCGTAACCGCCATCGCTGCCCATGTCCGTATCGTCACGGACGTCCGACGGGTCGTTGTCGGCTGGCAGCGGCACTGAAGCGCCATCTGCTTCAGTCGTTGGTGGAGCAGCAGCTGAGACAAACGCTGCGACAGCTGGTGTTGCTCGGGTTGTGGCGGGGGTGTAAAACCTACCACGTGGCGGTTGCCACTCATCGACAGCAGGTGGCTGTCGTCGTCGGGGAGATCTGAACGGGTTCTCAACGGTGCGCCGAGCGGCGCGTCCTCGCGGCTCCTCAATCCGGTCACGCGACCGCGATCGTTCTTCGGCGTTCTTTGGCATTTCCTCGTCGGAGGAGTGTTCTCGTACCATCTCCAGTGAATAGCTCAACAATGAACTAAAGATATCTTTGTATAGTCTCCCGCTTCTTGGCTTTCGGCCACGGGAACTTCGTCAAGGCAGCAAATATACACACTGATATTAGTGAGGTTAAACACGCCACGATGCGCCTACTGACTACCATTCACTAAAGTACTCAGTACCTCCACTAAGGTACCGGAACCTTTGACACGCCACACACACAGAGTGTGTGTGTTTGCAATGGGTCAAACTAACGCACGACCCAATTGCTCTGCACGCTGCAGAACAGTGTTGAATTGCGTGAATGAGTGGCCCGATATCGACGGTCGACTTGTCTAGACCACCTGTCGCAACTCGCGCCTCTGTGCAACTTCTCAACACAAACACAATGTTGGGGGAGAAGTGGACTCCCGGGCAAAGCTTGGTGGTGTATGAGCAGTTGGAGGCAAAACTAGAACTGAACTACTCACTAACTGACTAAACTAACCCTATACTAACTCTAAGTCTAAATCCCCTTTTGGTTCCACCAATCATCGAAGACTAGACCTGGCCTTTCCTGACCCTACCCCTTCCTGCTCGCACCACACACCGCGCCGCCCGAATGGCTCCAGCCAGGCGCGTCGAGTGGGTGCTAGGACTACGGGTATGTCCATCTTGCCAACGCAACACTCCCCCCATGCCCGTGTCCGGCACCTAGCTCGTGTAAGACAACTCACAACAATGATATGAAGGAGGGTACTCTACAACCGTTCTAGGGCCTCGACCAGCTCTTCGCGTTGAGCGCCGTTTGGCAATTGGTCGGCAAACGACTGCACCAAGGATGGGATCTCCTGGTGCATCGCCGAGAGCTGTTCCCAGCTTGCTTCGAGGCTCTCTAGGACTTTCCATCGGATTAGTAATTCCCACTGGTTAGAACCGGGGTTGCGCCTTGCGTCTTCGATTTGGTCAACAACCAGTATGGTCCCTTGCTCACTGACGTGGTCGATAATTTCTTCAGTAACATGAAAGTGGCTTTTCGCGTAGAACTTGAGTCGTGAGTGATGTGCTTCGCGTTGCACCCCCGTAATCAAGTGTTCTATGACACATAAGTAGGGCAGGCACTTGAGGACTCGGAAGTGGCCAATCCACGTGACTAGTAGCTTGGGGTAGTGTGTGTTCTCGTCCACTCGTGACCAAAGCACAAAGTCTCCTTCTGTGACCTTTATTTCGTTTTGATTTGTCTTCTCAAGCATTCGCTTGTTTTCGGCGGCGTGCTGTTTGTCGACGATTGTTGAGTGAACTTCTTGTAGTGATCTTCGTACTTCTTCCACGGCTTGCCGTAGTTTCTTCTGTTTCCAGTCGATCGTGTGGAAACTAGTCTTTGATAGTCGCACGTTGACTTTGCCAACGATGGTGTTGAGCGCTGTGGTCGGCTCCAAGCCTGTGAAGCATTCCATGGGGCTTGTGTGGTCCAGCGTCGCCACCGGCGTTTGGTTGATGTTGGCTTGTACAACCGGTAACAGATAATCCCACTCTGTTTCCTTGAGTTTTGTTTCTCTCGGCATGATTCGCATAAGGCCCAAAATGTCGCGGTTGACTCGTTCGACCGTCCCGTTACGCCATGGGCAGTATGCAAGCACTATGTTGTGCTGTGCTCGTAGGCGCGTAGCAAGTTCCTTCATGATGGAGTTCTTGAAATAGCTTCCGCCGTCTGAGATCCAAACTTCTGGGACTCCAAATAGCGCCGACCATTCCATGATGGCTTCGACGGCAACTTGGCTTGTCGGGCTGTCGCATGGGATGAGGCGGCAGTAGTGGGTCAAGTCGTCTTTAAGGACCAGGACGTACTTTGGTCCTCGCCACGCTTCGCCCGTAAATAGGAAGTCGAAGTGTAGGTTTTGTTTCGGTGCGTCGCGTGCCAAGCATACTGTTGAGGTCGTTGAATGACCCTGCCACCCCTAGTGTGCGGGCACAGCAAGCACGTCTTCATCCATGCCGTGAGCTTTGCATCAAGCTCGCGGATGTAGAATAATTTCGGCATGTGGGCTGCCATGGCTTGGTGTCCGCGATGGCCCATGCTGCCACAATGCGCGACGATGCAGCGCCGCGTAAATAAGTCGTTGGCGTCGTCGGGTATCCAAATTCGGACATGGACTTCGAGGAGCCCGCGGTAATCATGGCCGTTGGGCTTGGTATATGTAGAGTGAACCTGAGCGTGTCGTATAGCGTCGAGGTCCGGCCACACGAAGTCGGTGTCGTCCAGCGACCGAAGCTTTGGTGGCGACGGCTTGTAGACTTGCCAGGGTTGTTTTTTCTTCTTTGCCCATTCGCCCAACGCGCGCACGTACTTTTGATGTTCCGTCCTACGGAATGAATGGTGCCGCCGTTTCGGCTGGCTTTCCCACCAAATTCGTCGTACTTTCGCCTCTGTGGGCTGTGGTACATGTATGCCCATCGGCTCATAAGGTCGGCTCATAGGTTGTGCACTCCGTCGATGTGCTGGATGACATAGCGGTACTGTCCGATCATGTCAGCCCAGCGGATCAGCTTCTCGCGCGTGTGTGCTTTGAGCTCTTCGTGGGGCGCGAAGACGCGTATGAGGTTCTTGTGGTCACAATGCATGAGGAACCGCTTGGGTCGTAGCAGCAGGTACTTGAGGGTGTCGCAGGCACGCGCAATAGGGTATCCTTCTTTTCGATAACTGGCCAGTTGACTTGCGTTTAGTCAAACATGCCGCTTTCGCATACGAGGAGTTGATGCTGTTGGTTTTGAATCGGGATGTCGTCGCCGTAATCGTGGACTTGGATGACCACGATGGACCAGCCGTATGCGGAGGCGTCGGTGAACAGGCACATCTTAGCGTCTTCATGTGGGTGACATAATATGAGCGGCGTTTCGCATCAGTTCTTTGACTGTGTCGAAACTGTTCCGTTCTTCTTTGGTCAGGTCAATCGTGATTGATGTCGCGATTCTTTTTTTTTTTCCAACCAACGCTTCTGTGAGTCGTTTTTGGAGTCGGTCGATCGTGTGGGCAAAGCCAATCAAACTGTCGCGTATCCAATTCACTGTGCAGATGAATTGCTGCAGCTGACCTGCATCGGTCGGGTACGGGAACTTGCACAGCGCTTGAATTCTAGTAGGGTTTCGGCGCTCCGTCGGCGTCAATGATTCTGCCGCACCATTTGATTTCTCTGCACAGTAGCTTGCTCTTGTGTGGGTTCAGACGCAGTCTGAACTTGATACATACATCGAACACGGCGCGCATCACGCTCACATACTCGTCGATGGTGTTTGCCCACACCAGGATGTCGTCGAACCAAATTAGGACGTTTTTGTACAGTAGGTCCTTGAAACATTCCACCATGGTGTTCTGGAAAAATAGCGCCGAGTCACAATGGCCTTGCATAACCCTCGTTGGGGTCATGATGCGGTAGCCAAGCATAAAGGATAGCAGTTCTTGTGAGTACTTCTCGAGTGGTAGTTGCCAGAAACCTTTCGTATGGTCGTACTTGGCGCCGCGGACGTTTTCTAACACGAGGAACTGGAACGGCATGGCGCCAGCGAGTGGGATCGTTTGGCTATTGATGATTCTGTAGTCGATCGTAAGACGAAAGTACTGCAACAGTTCTTCGATTCTCCACTTATCGCTTGTCTTGACGAGTTTCTTTCCTTCCAGTTTCATAACCGGGTTGACGGGGCTGCAATGGGAGCTTGAGTTGTTTGCATAAATATCTTGGTCTTGCTCCAGCTGT